GCGGATTTTGTGTCTCTCTCCAAGACCAGGATTGAGGAATATGAAAAACGGCCAGAGAAGATGAGGAACATCATTCCATTTGAGCAGATGACCACTGAGGACTTGAATAAAGCTTTCCCGGAAACCAAGTTAGACAAGACCAAGTATCCCTACTGGACTCACCAGCCAATTGAAAACTTATAAACCTGAGTCTGACAGGGAGCACCGGCCCTGCTACGGCAAACTTGGAACATTAAAAATAGGAGTGATAAAAAAAAACAAAACACAAAAAGCTGTTACCTAAGAAAAAGAAAATTTACCTCAATAAGCCACAGAAGTTCACCAACATTCCATAAAAGAACACAGTATTATTCATCCCAGTCACTCATCTTGGGTTGTTTTGACCACATGACAAAGAAACAAAACCTCTGAATCAAAACTATCATTCAGAGTATGTTCAGAGTTCACACAAAGCTAAGAATTGTTTCTTACTTATTCCACCTTCTGAATAAGTAGCAAATAAAATGCTCTAGTGCTTACCCTGTGGCCAGAGTATTCAGAGTGGAGAATATTAGTTTCACTCAAAAATTATCAACAGAATCTATTTTTAATTACAAACAAACAAATATGATTCTAGTGGCAGAGATTGTTGGGTGTTGCACTACTAACCAAAAGGCTTTGTCTAGGGCTGTTTGAATCTACCAGCTTCTCTGAGAAAGATGGACAGTCTCCTATTTTGATTTATAGGCTCAGAAACCCAGTGGAAAGGCTCTGTGAGTCAGAACTAACTCAATGGCAATGAGTTTTATTTTTGTTTTTTAATGTTATTCTCTATCTATATATGTGTTCACTTAATAAAAAGTGCTGCTCTGATAAAAATGGAGGTAGGAGACACAGTGGAGAGATTGTAATACTAATGAGCTATCACATTTGATTATGAAAACTAAGAGCTCTTAGCGGAGATAAAAAAATACAATGAGAATAAAGAAAACTAAACAAAGGAGAAAAATGAACCACTTAACATCCTTCCCCTAAAAAAACGTACAAGAAAATAAATACAATCACACAAGTTGCTTGTTTTAGTAAAACAATAGTGTTTTTATAATTTGTCCTGCTAGGATTAATAGCAGACTACTTATGTGAAGCAGACTACTTTAGAAAGCAGAAGTGGCATCTACTTCCTAAACAACATACCTCCTGGAAACTCTATGAACTTTGGTAAATGTCCACAGTTATAGAAAGACTTCAGGCCTTCATAGGGTCACTATGAGTTGTGCTTGACTCGAAGACAATCAACAATAACAACTTATGAGAAGCCTCAGCTCAATGTACTTCCAAATACTTAACCACTATAAAAGTCCATATCAACAGCTCCATCTGTGACTCAGCTCCCCAATTCTTCTATCACTTATGTTGTTGCCTCTCTTCAACTATGGACTTTTGTAAAACTTCACAGAGTTTCCAGAGGCATGTTATTTTGGAAATGGATGCCACTCCTGCTTCCAACTATCACCTATAGCTTCAATAATTTGCTAGAAGATCCTCCAGAGGCTCAGGCCCATCAGGGAAATGACTCACATGACAGTAGATATGCAGGCCAGGTTTTTGTAGAATATAGTGAGCAACGGGCCAGGCTGGATGTAATGGGTTGCTTAAACACAGTCACACAGCCACTCATCTGTGTTGTTTTCACACACACCCCAATGGAGAGATTCTCTAGCTATTGTTGTTGCTGATTTGCAAGACCATGCTGATTTGAAAAACCATGTGTCTGCAGTTAAGGTAGCTGGAAACCAGAGGGGGCTAACTGTAATGGCTCAAAAAAGCCAACTTTTAGGCTAACACTGAAAATAGTTATTTATCCACAGTATTAGAAACACTCAAGCAAAAGTGGTGGTATATAAGAGAGTTAAGGCATCATTCATCATAACAGGGCACTGAAGCAATATTTAAAAATAAACAGCAAAAAATATAAACATGCTACTGATATAAGACACATGTATCTAGATACTAGATTTAAGCACCTGAAATGGGTTTCTAGAGAATAAGAAACCAGTTCAGATGGGACCAATGTTTGTTTTTAAAAGTTCTTTGTACTGTTTTATTTCCTAAAAATTGTTCAGATATTACTTTTAGAGGATAAAAACTAATTTTTAAACAGAAAGGAACAAATGGTAAGTAAAAGTCAAGAAAAATTAATCTGAGACTAACCACTGGAATTAACAAAAAGAATGTCTTTGGAAAATGTGAACAATGTGATGGGGGTAGTTGTGTTGGAGACAATGAAGTCAATTCAGGGTAGAGCAGGGTTCAGAGTTGTTTTACATAGGGTTGCTATGAGTCATAAGTGACTTGATGGCACATAACAACAAGTTAGGTAAAGGGAAAGGCAATACACAACGAGGGTTGATTAGACAATTAGACATTGTATTAATTGATAATAATTAATGTTATAAAATAAATGTCTATGTTTGTTGTTGTTGTTGTTATGTGCCATTGAGTCACCTGCAACTCATAGCGACTCTATGTACAACAGTCCTAAACCCTGCTCTATCCTGTGCCAATCTTATTGTTTCTGACACACCTACCTCCATTATCCAGGCTATAAATGTATGAAAAAACTACATCATTGCTCTTTAGCACTTTGGAGGTCTTTGACAGCAAATTTTCCCCAATGCTAATGTCTTTTGACTTCTTAACTGCTATTTCTCCGAGTGTAGATTGTGGGTCCAAGTAAAATGAAATCATTGACAATTTAAATCTTTTTTCCATCTATCATGGTGTTAGGGAGCTTTGGTGGCCTAGTGGTAAGAAGCTGTGCTGCAATCCCAAAGTCATGAGGTTGGAAGCTACCAGCTGCTCTGCAGAAGGATGAGCTATCTCCAGCTGTGTGATTTTGATTAACCACTCTGAAAACCTGCTGGAGGGTCAGCTATGGGTTGGTTCTGACTCAATAGTAAAAACATTATTCATGTTACCTATTGGAACAGTGATAAAGATTTTTGTTTTCTTGTTGTTAAGATATAGTAAAATATTAAGTCGATAAATTTTCAGCTATTCCATTAGCAAACATAGGAAATCAGCACTGTCAGGCTTTAGTGAGAAGGATACATCCATTGTGAAAGATTCAGCCTTTCAGGTATGAACTTTGGCAATATGCTCATACTTTATAACTTGATGTTTATTTTTCTGGGAGTTTATCAGAAAGTTCGTCAAGAAGTACCCATAGATGTGGACAAAGACTTATGTTTTCAAAAATTTCACAGTCTTAAAATGATTATATACAGTATATGAGCATAAATGTTATCGTTTATTGACAATGTTTTGAGTTATGTAAACATTTAACTTGAAGCTAATCTCAATTCTGCTTTCATAATGTATGAAATGAAAATGGGAGGTAAAAACATAAAAATTGTGAACAAAAGTCATCACTAGTTGTGGTCCCATGAGTGTTACCTTTTTTATACTTTATTCTTTTTCCATAGCAGTAAGAGATTTAACCCAAATAAAGGATTATAAGCCTTACAGGTTGCTTTGAGTAAACTTTGGAGAGAAGGCAACATCGGGGTCCTGAAAAAGGAATCACAAGTGATTGCTGGTTCATTCTCAGCCTGTCTTCAAGTTTGACTGCCCATGGATTTCCACCAACAGTGAAGGGGACTGTCCACAGGGAGCTGAAGGCTACTGCTATCTTGACCCCTGCACTTCCATTCAGACCACAGAAATAATAATGGATTATCCTCATCTGAGTCCGTGCTATGGGATTTACATGCTTAATTTCATTTAATCTTCCCAAATACTAGTGATATTCTCATGTGAGGCATAAAAGAACTAAGACTCTGAAAGGTGAATAAATTGCCCCAAAGCTTCACATCTCAGAGTGTTTCCTTGGCCCTCGTCTTTTTTCACTTCATCCCCTTTTATTTAGTCCAGCTTGTTAATGCATATTTTGATATCTAAGCTAAAGACCACAAATTCATAAGCACCTCACCTCTCTGAAAACATTTTTTTAAATTTAGTTTCTGCTGAGTGCACCAGGATACCTGGAGGCAGGCTTTTGTGAGAGTTCTTCCCCCTTCCTTTTCCTGTAGGCCATCAACATTTGCCCTTGGAACCACAACCAGCTTTCTCACTTGGTAGCAGTGGCTCTGTGGTGCCTTTTCCTCCAAGACCATCAGGTCAGTAACTGCTTTTACTCTTAGCTTTCCTGAGATTTGAAATTGACTCATAGCTGACCCTCCAGCAGTTTTTGAAGGCTATAAATTGCAAGGAAGGGGATTGCCCATCTTTCTCCCTCACAGGCATTAGAGGATTGCCTCCTTTGGGTTAACAGTAGTGCTTCCCAAGTACGGCTCCCCACAGACTAAGCCACCAGAGCTTTCTTTCTGGCCTTAGACCCTCTATTCTTCTCTTTAGCTTTCCTCAGCTCCCCTTTCTTGTTCTATCATCTCCAAACATTTTCTCTTTTCCCCTCCAGCTTATTTCCTCTGTTTCTATTGCTTCAATTATGCACTTATTGTTATCATCATTGCTAAAAGCAAATACCAAATGATTAAATTTAAGACAACTTCCTTCCAAGATTTGTTGGTTTATTCAACCCATTAACTGGTTTTATGGGGTGACCTAACTGGTCGGGAGTTGTGCTGCCAATCCAAAGGCTCTGGATTATACTCTTCAGCAGTTTTAATCCACCAGTGGTTCTAAGGGGGAAAGACGACCACCTCCTCCCACGAGGTTTACAGCCTTGCAAACTCAATGGAGGGTCAGCTATGAGTCATCTCCAACCCAGTAACAGTGAGAGTTATGTACTTAAATAAAACGTGAATTTGTGGGTGGGCAGGTGTTGTGATGGCAGTTTGGACTGAAAAACCACACTGGCAAACAGAGAGGAGAGATATCAAATGCAAAAAGACTACAGAGAACAGAGTCTAGAGCCAGTGCTGTGATGCCTACCCATTCATCTTCCAGACTGACGTTCCAGAGGCCACACACTAGTATCTTGCAATCCAGAAAGGTTGGAGATGGCAGTTTCCCCAAACTCTTGCCTCCTCAAATGTCTACTCACCCTCGTCCTCCAGCTTCCCACCCTGGATTCAGGTATGCCTCCTTTCTATTTCTCTCTGGTTTGTTGGGCTGAAAATTCTCCATGCATGTAAACAACTCCATGTGATTCTCCTGTTACCCTCCACTAAACATGCCACACATCCTGAGCTGTTGGAAGAATTAGAGAACCTGTGCGGGGAACTCTGCCCTTTCTCTGAAGCCTGGCCTATGTCAACCCTCAACTCCCATTTTCACGCACACACACTCTGTTCTTGACTCTGCTCGGGTTTTTTGGTTGTTTTTTGCGCAGCTCACTTTGACGTAATTGGACCCCCGGAGCCCATCCTGGCTCTGGTGGGTGAAGATGCTGAGTTGCCCTGTCATCTGTCCCCAAACGTGAGCGCTGAACACATGGAGCTGAGGTGGTTCCGGAAGAAGGTCTCGTCTGCAGTGCTGGTTCACAGAGACGGGCAAGAGCAAGATGGAGAGCAAATGCCCGAGTATCAAGGAAGAGTCACACTGGTGAAGGACCACATCACCGAGGGGCGAGTGTCTGTGAGGATCCACAAAGTCAGAGCCTCCGACGATGGAGAATACCAGTGCTTTTTCAGGGAAAAGGAAAGCTATGAAGAGGCGAAGGTGCAGCTGAAGGTGGCTGGTAAGTACCTATTTCCCTGTAAATCAAATTACTTTGGAAATCATCAGGTTACCCCGAAATCTTTAGATTGGTCATAGTTGAGAGACCTGTACTGAAAAATGAATGCAAAGAAGGCTTGAGTTAAAAAAACAAAAAAAGAAGGCTTGAGTTAAGAATGGAGAGATGTCTTTATTGCACAGCTTTACTTGTCTTGAGCTATTTCTGCTCAAATATTAAATAAGCATTTCCTAGGTTTAGTAATTGAATAAAGGATATACAAATGCTGTTACATTCTTCTTTTAGGAGTATACCAGAGTTTCTTGGACCAGGTTTTTAAAAAGGGCATTTAGGTTGTGTCAGTGTTTCATTATTTTAAAATAACTATGTTGAGCCTCTCTGTTGCATAGTTGAGACTGTTTTATGGATTGATCCCTAAGAACAGATTTCCCAAGGTCATAAGGTATGATTGTTAACATTTCTTGATCTACCCAGAAAAGGTTTATGTTGTATCCTTTTTCCACTTGAATAAAAATTCAGAGTGAAATACTACAGACAATAGGGAACTGTAGGGGCCTAGTAGGTAAAGAGATGAACTCCAAATCCAAAGAAACTTGGGTGGAATCCACCAGCTGCTCCAAGAAATTTCAAAAGTTGAGCAATCTCATCCTGTTTGATGTGCTGCCTCTGAAAACCCACTGGAGGCTCAGCTGTGACTTGGTTCCACCAACTCTACAGCACATAACAACAAAAGCAACTGTGAATGGCATTAAGTCATTCTCTTTCCAACTCATGTTTACTAATATATAACTGGGGAAGCACCTATCTAGTAGGTTTTAATACTAATGAGATAAAATTAATTATCTGTGAAAAATCTCTTCGTCAGATCTAAAAGTATTACACACTTGCCACTTTGTTTTTTATCACTGTGCCACATTGTTTTTGTGAACCATATAGTCATTTTTTCACTGCTAACAACTCCATGTGACAAAATAGAACTCCCTCATAGGATTTCCTAAACTATAATCCTTAACAGCAGGAGAAAGATAGGCAATCTCCTCTCATGCAATTTACAACCTTGGGAGCTCAGTGGAGGGTCAGCTGTTGAGTCTGTTCCAACCCAATTGTATTGAGTTTTTAAGTTTTACTCTTTATTAATCTTTTAGGTGCCTTTAAAAACAGCAAAAACCAAAACTCAAACCAATTGCCAGTGAGTCTGAACAGACTGTAGCTGATTCTCTATCTAGTAGGTTTTCAGAAGTTCTAAATCACATGGGAGAGGATTGTTCATCTTTCTCCAGAGGAGCAACTGGTGAATGCAAAGGACCTTTGGGTTGGCAGTGCAACTCCCTACAGACTAGGCAACCCGAACTCCCCTTTGCGTCTTCGATTGCTCTACAATATAGAATATACAAATATATTGCTGTTCACAAATCTATGCAAATAAAGAGGAAGTTTGAAGAATACTTGAGTGAAATCTGAGCCCCTGCAGCAATGACATGTGTAACCCACATGCTTTCAGTTTTAGGGAAGAAATATCTTGAAAGTTTGATTTTTCAAATATTAGATATTTGGTAGCATAAAACTGATTCTTACACACGTTGAGATTGAATACACATTTTCTCAGACAGACACAAACTTGGAAAACGGTGTTAAATCACTAGTTGTGAAAATGTGTTTAAGGATTCTACCCAGCAGCTCAGTGTTTTCTCCTGCTCTTTGCAGTTATAAGAAAAGAATTAGGAAAACAGAGTAAGAAGCATTTGAGTTTATTTATGTTCAGACATAGTTGTGTGCAGGAAGATGAGGTTGAAATAATTTTTTAATTCCATCTAATCCCTCTTTTTGCCCAGGATACTTCGTTGTTTATTCTTAAACACTCAACCTTAGCTCTCCTTCTCAAAGCCTTCTCTGAGTAGTTTTGACCACTGAGCTCCCTCATATATAGTTCCCAGCCTAGACTACCAAACCTTCCTTACTAGTTTAAGAAGTACCTTCATTCTTATCTGTCAAAATCCTACTCACCTGTGCCACCTCTAATGCCTGTCTTTTCTTTTAGTGTAGCACTAGTGACTAGATTCCAACATAGAATCCTTCTTTGATAAGATAAAAGAAAGTCTATTTACTGGAAGAGATCTTTTGTGAAAAGCAATGTATTCAAACTTTGTAAATAAATCAGTATAAAAGAAAAAAGAAAAAAAGTTTGTCTATAGAGCTGAGTCTCTCCCATTGTGTTTTTTTTTTTTATTTAGGTTGTTT